GAACGTGACAAAACCTTGCCAAACAGTGGATCATTTAACAATCTGAGTTAGAGTTAGAGTTTTTCTTCAACAAAATAAATGTCTTAATAGAAAAATAATTCCCAGCCTGTGTGCGACAATCTGGATTCATGGATATTGTCTAGTGATTTGGGTTTGCCTTACTGAATTTACATTTATAGAGATGATGACGACATCAACGACGTGGCCTCCATGGCCGGAGTGAACCTATCAGAGGAAAGTGCTAATATCCTAGCAACCAATTCTGGACTAGTGGGAGCGGTGACACATTCCTGTAAGGACGAGGCTTTTCTCTCCTGTGCCATGCTACAGAGGAGAATGCTGGAGATCGGTGAGACCTACAACATCACTGACAATCCAACATCTGTCCCGCCACCCCCTGAAGTCCCAAGGTGTTTTGCTGTTTTCTCCTCCAGGTAGGAAGTATGGCGTGACAGACCTGGGCGCGGAGGTGGTGACCTATGTCTCCCACGCTACTCAGCAGCGGCTCCAGAACCTACTGGAAAAAGTTTCCCAAGTTGCTCAGCAGAAAAATGTCAATTTCAAGGTTTGTTTACAGCAGCATTATAAAGAGACGAAACACATTAGCGCTACAACATTTTACTGTATTTACAAAGCTGTTTTTAGCATCGAGTTGACAGATGCTCCGAGTCCACATGCATGTGCAATCATTTCTTTCCTGTAGTCTTTTGTTTTTTTCTGGGATAGCATTGTAACACTTTTGTCTGTTGGCAGGAGGATGACAATTATGAGCAGAGCAGTGATGTTCGTGCTCAGCTCAAGTTCTTTGAGCAGCTGGACCAGTTAGAGAAACAAAGGAAGGAGGAGCAGGAGAGAGAGATCCTCCTAAAGGCAGCTAAGGTACTGACAGACATCAAAATTGTATATCTGAAAGCTACTGGTGATATTGTAATTGTATTAAAAGGGAATGTGGTAGCTTTGTGTTGAGGAGTAAGTAAGAGTCAGATACCTGGTGTCAAATAGAGTAATAAAATAAATAGAGAGGTCTTGATGTTTTCACAAATGAATGCCTTTCTGTAATAATACCTGGATTAAATATTCTTTATATGAAATTAAAAAACTTAAGAAACCATGAAAACATGCACTTTCTTGCCTTGAGATATTACATTCAGCAGACATGTCATTGAAGTTATTCTAGGTTTAAACAGACTTTCATCAATTTCAAGCATTTGAAGTTACTTCAAAGCAATCTGTTACTTTTTAATGTTTAAATGAAGTCTAGGTTCATGGATTAATAGAAGCAGGTGTGTAATACATGCTGATTTATTTGGCCTATATTTAGTAGTTCAGTATCCCTCAGCTATTCTCTTCTCCAGAGGTACATTATATTCTATAAAGTTCAACAAAAGGTTGCCTGCAATTGATTTTGACTCACCCTCGGGATACCTGTTAGGATGTAAAACAAACCGCTTCTAACAAATGTACTATGGAGATGAATTTATTTCTAGTAGGTATGTGACATTTGGAATAAAATGATACATGGATTTAATAAATCACCTGGGCATCTCAAAAGAACGGTTGTGCTGTATGAATATTGTTTAACTCGTAATGTAAATATTGAGGGATATTCGGGGGACTTGAGGCTTAGCCAAAACAAGTAGTTGGTGTAGTTTTCCATGTGATAGCAGATATTCATGCAGAATGGACTTAAATTAATTTAATAAACAACACAGTATCCCTAGCCCTGCGCAACCCGGGCTTTCCTTTTTCTTCTGACAACATCATTAATGTGTGTTGCTTCTGGCCTTGCAGTCTCGAGCTCGGCAAGAGGACCCGGAGCAGCTGCGTCTGAAACAGAAGGCAAAAGAGGTAGGATGAGAGGAGGAGTGCTGTCAACTAGTCTCTGTTTCTGTACGTTTATGCACTGTGTGCTTAATTTCCATGTTGGTATGTCTGCGTTGTCCAGATGCAGCAGCAGGAGCTGGCTCAGATGAGACAGAGGGAGGCTAACCTGACGGCCTTGGCAGCTATTGGTCCGAGGAAGAAGAGGAAGATTCTGGACTCTCCATCCTCGTCTGCTGCAGCTGAGGTAACACTAATCGCAGCATCCTCTTCATATAGTGTTATTTAACTGTGATAAAGCCTTTGCCATTTTCACTCTGCAGGGAACATCTCTTTACATTACTTACTTGGCGAGACAAAATGGACTCACACTTCAACAAAAGACACCAAAGTTATAAAGTGAAAATGCCGGTGACAGTTAAAAATCTTCTTTCTTTGTCAGTATACTATAGTGGTTACAGAAATAGCTAATGTTGGCGCTAATAGTTAGTCAGTTCTTCTTGGATTGGATCAGTCAGACAAAGTTGATTTGGGATGAGCTGTGACTCACACCCCGAGAGTAACCTGCTGTCTGTCATCTGGTCTGTTCACATACCTGGAGAAAATTATGTTATGAAGCAGCTCGTTAGATGTGGCAGAGCACCCAAACAAATCAAATTCAAACAAGTCACTAATCACATTCATGAGACAATGTGACAAACCATTACTGCCAATGCTGCAGATGTTGGTTACACTTGGCTCTACCTGCTACGCATCACTGTTATTGGTTGAGTTAATTGATTTCTCATTTGACCACAAACCTCAGTTTGCTCTAGGCTTTTAATTCCCTTAGTGATCCACAATAGCAGAGCCTGTTCTGTGGAATAAGTGTATAAACATTTGCTACAATGAATGGCCCTGGATTCTTTAATTGTTGCTGACAAGAATTGCCATATAAAAAAACAAATGTTTTCTCTCGCTCTAAAAGGTTTTAACACATATTGCTAATAAACAGTTCACATGCATCCATTAGTTTTCTCAACTGCTTAATGCTGTTCAGGATTGTGAAGTCAACAAAATGAAAGTTTCTAGTCCCGTCAAGCTACACACAAATAGGTAACATAAAATTACACAATATATATACAGTTATTTAGAAAGAAAAAATGATTATAATCAGATCGCAGTGTCTGAATCCGCCGCCACAGTCGAAATCTCCTTTAGCTAATAATACTGTACGCCAACTTCCAGGGGTCCAATGTTCAGGGGCTGTCGGGAGTAACACATTAAAAAGTATTACCTGGGGAGAAAGAACATAAGGGAAATCTTAAACCACTGGGCTTTTGTTACAACTAAACAGAAATTGAATACTTACAAATTATGGTCAGAAGAATGGAAACTTAAAACTAGTTTTCCGTTAACACAGAAGGAGAAGCTGCTTCCATAAGCATATAGAAGTTACTCTAACAGACACCCTCTAGCAGGGAGGAGTAGACTGCTTTTGGTTTAATGTTGATCACATCTCTTAATCTAACAGTTGCACATACATTGTGGAAGCTCCCAAATGACCCACTGGCGTGCACTTACTTCCAACACACAGACTAAACTGCTGAAGGGTCAGCCTGGAGTAACACAGGAGAGAGCAGTTCAAAGAAAACAACAAAACACACAGCTCTGTGGCCATAACGGACTATTAGGTACAAAAATGGCTTCAGCCATGAACCTGCTGCAGTGGCTGCAACGTTTTCCTTTGAGGCATTTACGCCTGTCAAAATTACGTCCACAAAAGGTGTTTTTTTTTTTTTGCCACTGGCAGTCTCAGTCTTATACGAGGTGGAAAGGATGTAGTCTGTTTCTGACAGTTTGGCCAGTAACATGCACACCAGAAGCCTGCTGGAGGTCATTTTGTAGGGCTCTGGCAGTGCTCCTCCTGTTCCTCCTTGCACAAAGATAGCGGTCCTGCTGCTGGGTTGATGCCCTTCTATCACCCTTTTCCAGCTCTGTCCAGTTCTTCTGGTGTTACAGTCCGTCTCCTGCTATCTCCTCCATGCTCTTGAGACTGTGCTGGGAGACACAGCAAACCTTCTTGCGACGGCACCTATGGATGTGCCATCCTGGAGGAGCTGGACTACCTGTGCAACCTGAATGGTGGTCTGTGGCCACCACCTGGAAAAACCATTCGCTTTTTTGGGGGTTGTCTTGCGGTTGCCTCTTCAGTGCACATGTTGTCACTTTTATTTGCACCAAAACAAGTGACAATGATTCACAATCGCTAATGCTTCTTAACTGGACAGATTGATATCCCTGACTGACTTGCTGTTATGCTGTGATCAGTGTGAAAAATGGGCCCAGGTTTAAAAATACAGAAATTATACTTTTAAGTGGGATTTTGAATGACTTTTTTAACTTGTAGTGGAATACTTCTACCTTGCTATATTGGTACTTTTACTTAAGTAAAATATCATAATACTTCTCCCACTCCTCTTCGGGTATCACATAACCAGTCCGCCCTCTCACCCTTTCTGTCTCCCTCCCACCTGTCTCCTCATCTTGCAGGGATCAGGAACAGGTCCCTCTCTGTCTGGTGGTGCTGGTTCGTCAGGCTCCAGGCTCACACGGCAGCGCGTCACACGTGTCAATCTCAGGGACCTGCTCTTCTGCTTGGAGAACGAGAGATTTACCAGTCGCTCCCATTTCCTCTACAAGGGCTTTCTCAAATAGGCTTGATGTCAGAGAGGAGAGGAGGGGAGTGAAGTGCGTGGAGAGGCCAACCGCTCCCACCATAGAGAGAGCATAAGAGACTCTTATGAATGAAGAGGAGGAGCTCAGCGACTTGGCACATTTCAAGGTCTTTCATATGCACATGATAACCTGAAATGCAGTGGTAGCCATATCGGATGGCCTCTCCACCTCTCTCCTCTAATGCCTGTTTTCTTATAGAGCAGTCATGGACTAATTTTCCCTGAACTTCTTTTTCAAGAACGTGCAAAAATGAATGACATGTTTTATGAGGAATGGTTTTTGTATGAACAAATGAGTTATTGTACAATTATGCACTGTCCACAGTAGTTTATTGTCTGATTATATGTGTGTGCGTTAGACTTTAAAGAAATGGAAATCACCACATTTGTTTTACACCAACTAATTTTATTGAATAATGATTTTTTTGTTTTGTCAACTGAATTAGTTTGAACTCCAAACTGTGTAACCTACTGAGTTGCCTTCCTAACGATGAATAAGCCATATAGCTACCCCAAAGCAATTAACCCTTCTGTAACTCATGATGCAGTAGCTCGCTCTGTATCTGTCATCTCCATTACTTTATTTGACTTTCCCCCCCAGCATATTTATTTACTAAACTCAAGCTTAAATTAATGTTTAGTTATTTATTTAATGTGACACCTCAGTTGTTTCTTAAATTCAAAACAAAATTTACATTCATAGGCTACTTTTTAAAATCAGTTTTGGCATTTTTTGGGGGGGTATAGTTTTCAGTGTGTGAAGAGAGGTGTTTGTTTTTTTATCTGATAAAAAATTTGTTTGACATGTATTGGTTTCTAAAACTTAAACAGAAGGCTTTTAACCTGTATTGCTCTACCAAACATACATCTACCGGAAACTGATTTCTATTTTTGTAGCTGCCACCAACACACATATTTTTACTCTTTTAATAGTTACTGACAGTGTCCTCCAACTTAAGAAACTGGAGTTTCTTCCTGTATATTTGTACATGTTACACCTAAAGTTTTACACGCAGTTTTGTATAGAATTGAGAATTTACCCATACTACATAAAGAAACATTTTCTCTATTGAAAAGTTGGAATAAATGATTTTACAGTAACTCGTTTGGTTTGGCATCTGTCATCAACAGTTTTTTTTGTATTTTATTGTGTTGCACTAGGGGGCAGCATTGCATTATTAGAACATATAGATGTGTGCTGCATGTGGTACTGGGGGTATTGAGGCATTGTACATGAAAGAGCTGAACACCTTTAATTCCATTTTTACGCTACCTGTTCACAGATCGTTCCACTTAATCCTCTAACATCTGTAAAGCCACATGTTGTACACAATGCGGGTGTGTCCCCTGGGTTTATATAGGCGTCTATTGAGGGCAACTCCCAGGAGCGTAACACACAGCTCTCAACTTAGACTGAAAAACACACTCACACACAGTCTGCTACCAGTCTGTGCTGTTCTTTGTTGGGCTGTCTTGTATGAGTCCGTCTCAGTTATCAGCCCAACACACGGTGGTAACAGCTGCAACATCAGCTGCTAACATTCACCACAACCATGGGCTGGAAATAATTAGTCCATTCTGCCACTGGGACAGTAGCCTGATGTTGCAATGATTGGGAGCAGCTTTCGTATCTGCGCCGACCAAAGAGAAACAATAAGTGTATATTTGGAGCTATCAGTGGTGATGAGCCCCAATTTCATTTTCCATAATGAAAGTACATCTGGGAGCCACTAGGTGGCAATAGCTCATTTTACCAAATTAGAGGATTCTGTTGTAGCTGAGATGGACTGAAGCCATAGCGTCAGCTTCTTTATAGTTAATGTTACCTTACATTACATCTGGCTGACTTTATTGTTCACATGTTTGCGTTTTGCTGCACTCGACACCTACAATACAGACTACTAGGCCAACATGTCCGGTGCTTCCATTTTGCATAACACAGCAAAAAAAAAAGAGAGCGGGAAACAATCTGGATTGTTAAATAATATCACAGCATTGTGTTGCTGTGAGAAAGACAAGGCAGACTTTCAGTTGTGAGTACAGAACCAGCGTGGCCTGACAGTCTATCATGGTGTCTGGTGGCGATTCAGGTAAGGCCTCACCCCCTGTGCTTCAGCCCAATCCAATATTTTTTCCTGGTAATCCCCCTTCCACTCCTCAACACTGGTGCTCTTTCAGAGTTAAGTCCACATAAGCTCCCACTTGAGTGCCAGAGGCAGAGCAACAACAGGGATGGTGCGGTTGCCTAGCGACGTCTCAGTCACTGCACCTGAGGGTGTTGGGTAAACACCCTGAGCCTGCCAGAGGGAAGGAGAAAGAAGTAGCATCACTGATTCCTTCCAAGACATTTAGGGGGCTGTTATTAATTTGTTGCATTCAGTGCTATCATTTTTGCTTTCACACCATGGTGAGATTATATAACAAACCATATCTAAAGTTGAAGTTTATTTGTGTGTGCAGACACGCTCATGCCTGTGACTGTTCATCAGCACTTAGCTATGGGTGCTTTTGTCTGATTCCAAGATGGGATTTGACTGCTCTGATAGTGCTTCTCAGCAGGGTGTTCCTCTTGCACTTTCATGATAAGTCTCCAGTCTAAAATTCCTTGCTTGTTTACGCTCACAGAGGGGCTCAGTTTTAATGATGGTTAGAGGCTGATGAAAGCTCCCCCAGCCCCCATTACTTACATGAAACGGATGGTTATGAAAATCTTTATTAAGGTAAGACCCCTATGGCTAGATGAATCAGAAGGTTGTGATATTTTTTTCATTGACATTACTTTGCAAACCAATGAATTTGAAATTCCCTTCGTAATCCCACCATATTCACGCTGTGAGACAAATGCAATACTAGTCAGTTAATTAATTTTATCCTTTTCAACGCCTCCTTGCATATTGTTGATTAAGCTTTGAGCTTATGAATAAAACTCTCTCCTAGGAGGGACATGAGAATGTGATTTGGATGAACTGATGTGGCACACTGTGATCCAGTCACTGCACTTTATGATCCATTAAGATGCACAAATCCAGTAGCCTATAACCCCTTTTATCCTGAAATGAAAGAAAATGATTTTTAGCCTTTCCTGAGGAACCAGACTCTGAAATATAACATGCAACAAAAGTTCATTTGGTTACACTTCCTCACAAGTCCATTTCTTGTGGGATCTGCCCTCGGTCCACCTAGGTTAATGCTGACTTTAGGACTCTTGGACTTTCGTCTGGGGGTCGACCGGGGCAATCTGCTTTGGCCTGGAGATACTATAATAAGACCAGTGTTTATGGCCGCCACTGAAATGGGTTTGTAAGCGTGGCTGAACCTGTGAGGTATTGATGCGGGGGTTAATAGCCTGTTGGCCTCTTTAATGGAGCTGAATCAGGTCAAGCAGCAGGCAGTGCCAGCCCACAGGAGAGGAACATCTCCATTTACAAAGTAATTTCCTATATGAGGCAGGACAGGCACCAAAATGTGTTGAGTGCACACACCTGTGGTTCATACAGAGAAATATGTGACATGAACACACAGGAACAAACAGGCTGGTGCCAGACTAAACATGACACAGGCTGATGTGAAAATCAAAAATGCTTTTTACATTTTAATCCACTGTTTTTTTATTTGGTCAGTCCTGTGCTGTATACTGATCTTACTATGATCCTCAAGACTCAACTTGCTCAAATAATGACGTCCGGTTCCTAATCGAACCATTGCGAGGATGATGCATTGTTTCAATTTTCCAACTTGGTTGTTCACAGTGGCATAAAACTGAAATGGTCAAGAAATTGTAAACAAAAGCCATGTAGAGGAAATGGCAAGGGCAGACATTTCATGTCACTGTTGATTGGGACATTGCAAACATATCCCTGTGGGAGATTTTAAAGAATAAAGGCTGAAAAGATTAGGCAGCAGACCAAACCACTGTGAGGCATATGAGGAGGGATTACAGAACATAATGTTTCAAAAAACAGACTGGACTCATAGTAGTGATCATACAAGAGCTGTTAACTGTTTGTATACCAACACACAGTCTTGTATCACACAGTCAGTGGGCAAAAAAACAAACCCCTCCAAATACTTACATACTACAGTAGGGGATATGGGATCTTTGTAACACCACAGGGTTTTTCCTGGCTCAGGATGGGACTTTGGGGGGTGACTTTGCACGACAATAAGCATGGCCGCTACGCATACAGTAAAGGCAATGAGTTACCTTATGACCAAAATATATGCATTTTCTAGTAATTTCTGACCATTTGATAAACAAAATATATCCACAACCTGGAGGTATAAAGGTACAAAAGTATAATGTTAGTATAATAATATATTTACAGGTTACACTTGATTTGGATAATTTGCTTACAGATAGTTTATTAGTTGAGATTAGTTGAGCTGTTTCACTAATAAAACCTCTCTCTAATATTAGCCTACACCACTGTGGTTAAGGTTTGATTAGTGCTAATGTTTGTGTATTCATTATAATTTCAGTAGGCTATAGGTTACTATAGTTTACCATTAGTAGCCTAA